GTTGGGGATGGTCAGTCCCCTCTGCCCAGCCTGGCCCGGCAGACAGCCCGCAGAGCCAGAGCCATGCTCCCACACTGCTCCAGCCATGCCGTCCCCCGCCCCAGCCTTGCCTGTGCCCGGGGACCGAGCTGGGCACCTGCCGTAGAGGTGGCACCACAGCTGCCAGGACATGGGTTCTGGGTGCTGTGCCACCCAGTGCCACAGCCCCCACGGCCTGGGCTGCTGCCTGGGAACCCCCCGGGCTGAAGGGGGGGTCTGACTGGGGCTCTTTTCTCAACCAGGGAGCCCGTCTGGCCATGCCATGGGTGCCGCTGGCGTATACTACATCATGGTGACGGCCCTCCTGTCCACTGCCATGGGGAAGAAGAGGTCGAGGACACTCAAATACTGGTAAGCTGTGTGCCAAAACCACCCGTGCTGGGCAGAGGCTGCTCCAGAGCTGACGGGAGCGCAGCTGAGCCCACCGAGGCACGAGGCTGTGGGCCGATAGCCGGGACATGGAACCCGAGGTGGGGTGTGCATGGGGATGGGCTCGGCGGGTGGCCAGGCACTGCTCAGGGTATGCAACGGCGGCATGCTGGGCAGCATGAGCTGGCCCTGGCTCTGACGTGGCTGCCTGCCCCTTGCAGGGTGCTGTGGACGGTGCTTTGGACAGGGTTCTGGGCAGTTCAGGTCTGCGTCTGCCTGTCCCGAGTCTTCATTGCCGCCCACTTCCCCCATCAGGTCATCGCAGGGGTCATCTCAGGTGAGTGCATCGGACCACCCGCCCCCTTCCCCGTGGCACTGCTGTGCTGGACCACAGCACTCAGCACTGGCCAGGAAAGGTGCGTGGCTTGATGGGCGGGTGCAGGGTCGTGATGCAAAGCTGTGTCCATGGCTCTGCAGTGACTGCCCTCAGTGTCACGGGCAGGATGCCCTCCAGGACGTGCCTTTGCCCCTACCCCGTCTGAGGTACGAGTCCCAGTCGGGCGGGCAGGGCACTGCCAGGTGCTGCTGGGCTCTGAGGGACAGTGACTGTGGCCCGAAAGCACAGACAGGGCTGGCTTGGGGTGTGAAAGGCTCATTGCTGGGTGAGGGAGCACAATCGGCCATTCCTGAGCAACGGGGCACAGCGGTGGCAGCCAGCGCTGCGCGGGAGCACCGGGGTAGCCCCGCACACGTCCCCTGCCTCGAGGCAGGCGATCACTTGATCGGCATCACCTCCTGACCCGCTTCATCGCCGGCAGGGATGGCCGTGGCCAAGACCTTCCAGCACGTCCACTGCATCTACCACGCCAGCCTCCGCCGGTACCTGGGCGTCACCTTCTTCCTCTTCAGCTTTGCCCTGGGCTTCTACCTGCTGCTGCGGGCACTCGGTGTCGACCTGCTGTGGACGCTGGAGAGGGCGCAGAGGTGGTGCGCCCACCCTGAGTGGGTCCACATCGATACCACCCCCTTGGCCAGCCTCCTCCGTAACCTG